CGCGGAAAATGAGAACGGCCGACGGTGAAACTCCAGTTCGGGGGCCACTCCATTTTTTCTCCAATACTCAAGATAAGGATTAGAGGGCTCACGACACGTAATCGACTCATTTAAAGTAGACTTCTGATAAATATTGGTGTAATGGGTGAGAAACCCTGAAACGTTTTCACATTTCCGCCTGCCATGACCCAAGGGAACGGTCCTGGACCAGGAGAAAGGACACCTCCGCAAAGGGCTAAGGGTGCAGGAGCTCCAGGGTGGATCACCTGTGCAGAAAAGTGGATGGGATGTGGGCAGGTAGTGTGGAATGTAGGACATCCACCGGTCCTTATCAAAAGTACGCTCGAAATGAGTCGTTCACTTATTATCTTATCCGTAGTGTTCGATAGCCCAAAGAACTGCTCTCTAGTACTACGGATAAGATAGCAATGGTGCCCCCCCCCCCGAACTGGAGTTTCACCAGGGCGACTAAAGAAACAGTGCGCGCATACCGAAAATAGCAGTGCACAAAAAACAGTAACATTTTTTGATTATTACTGAAGGTAGCTACTCATGGGAATCAATTTTATACCATGGAAATCGTCCAAAGTTGGAACGTTTACAAATATCAAGGCATGACGTCACTATTAAGAAACACCCACCAGAATTAAAGCAGAGCGGTGTCGTATCGCGAAGAACCAATTGAAGGTAACGCCCAGGATACACGAAGATGAAATACCCCTCCCCCGCTGTCTTGCCGTTTATTCCCCGCATTGAAGGTGACTCTATTCGATGCACCTTTTCATTCTACACGCTAAACGCTCTCGTTACTAAAGCGGCTAGAGACCGTACGTGAAACGCTAAGCATATGCCAGCGGCGGGCAGCGGCGATAGCGGGCGTGAGGGCGTCATACTATTTTCGCCCGTGGGCATACTCTGATTGGCAAATTGCGTTGCCGATCAGCAGCTCTAGGGGTCCGCTTTCTTTTCTAGTAGATAAGTTTCCCATTCTTCGACGTTCAGGCCCTTATGGTAAATCGCCCTTTTTGAAGACTTAGTTTATATTTTTAGGAAGAGTGAAAGCTGTGGATCCAGATGAAGGCCAAAATGCCGTGGTGCACTATCGAATAATCCCGGAATCACTGCCACGAGCTGAGTTTATCATCGATGCCGTTCGTGGAGATTTGATAGTGAGTTTCATAGAGAGCTAGGCTAGAGAAGGAGAACAGTAGCGTTCTGATATCCGTAGTTTGCAACCTACGGCCGGTGTCAGACTTTGCGAATCGAGCGATTTGCTAGTAGCGTTTCGAGCGATTCGCAAAGTCTGACATCGGCCTACAGCTTTTTTCCGGAGAACTATCCGAAAAGAGCGAATCGTGCTACTGGGTTAGCGTTCAATTCCGCATAATGTAGCACTTGCTCAAGGTCAACAACCACCGCTACGACTTACCGAGGACGAACACGAACTAAACCTACTGTAGCCGCCCTGGATGATGTACACCAACAGACTGCAATCCGCTTCCAGGCAAGTTACCGTCCTCATATTGGAGACGTAATGACCATCACCGCTTTGCTGCGAAAGCAAGTCATGCAACGATTGATGTCGATGAGGTAATATACGAACAGCCGCTCCCCCCATATTGAAAAATATCACATAGTATAACCCGTATAATATAGCCAAGGTGAAATATCCTTTGTCTACGACAGCCAGTGGTCGTTGCAGAAAACACCACACAAATGACGAGGGTCTCTATAAAAGTAAACTTTGCTACCGATTAGAGATGATTAAGCCCATTTCGCAATTGTATTCTATTCAATTGTTCGCTACTTACACTACCAATTACTAAACTAACAGCGTCTATCACTAATGAACACTTACTTATCAGATTTATTGGGATCGTCGTCGTTGTGTTAGTGTGGTCTGTACTCGATCGCACACGCGTGGCCCTAAAGAACAGAGTGTGCCACATAAATCACCCAACAAGCGGGCTGATTCACTGCGCGATGCGGAGGAAACGAAAACATGTTTGCTCGGTTGATGTGGAAATAGCCAAACTCGGAGAGCTATGATTTCAAAACTACCGACTGAATCTGTGGTTTCAGGTGACAGCACGTGGTACTTCTATCCTTCGATTCGAGGTTGACGACAGCGATGTCGTAATTGCGGTCTTAGCGACACACACGGCATCAGCTCGCTCGGAAGCATCAAAAAGCACACGTGATATCGGTTTTCCCAAGGCAATTGCCATGTGCACTTCTAAGCCTGCGATTGCGACATGTTCTTCAGTAAGAAACGAAGTATGCATAGAAATTGCTGCTTGTTTTACCGTAAGTCTTCCATTGTTGTCCACTTCGAACTGGCCAAGCTCATTGCCTTCAGCGATCGATAGGTGAAATGCGTTGTCTAAAATTAATGGTTTTTCTGGATTTCTATACCCTCGAGGAGCGGTTTTTCCAACGCATTTTTCGATTATTGAACGGGTAAAGTGGTAACGAATAAAATGATAGAGCATTCGGCGGTAACCCTTACTTTCTGGGTAAACCACGTACTTTACATCCAATTCAGACTTGTAGTAGAATTTCGAATGCAATTTGGCCGAGACAATGACTTGTAGGGCTAGCCGATGTACAAATCAATGTTTTTATTCTCCCATGTAAGCCCGGCACTAACTAACCCGACTGGGAAGCTTGGCTGGCCTGAATCGATCTGTATGATCCATGCTTTGATCCCCAAACCGTGCGCGTGGTAATCAGTGCCCCGCCCCTACCATTACACTACTTCCACCCAAGGCCAACCGTGCGCTGCGCAATTCTCAATGAAGGTGGTCGTATTGTTTTTTTTTCGCTGGGGATCGTATTAGGTGTCAATGAAGGTAAAAGTTTGGAAATCGGGAGGGGGGGGGTCGTATGTTTGATAGTTTGGGGGGGGGGAGTAGTGGTTGCGGGAGAAGGGTGTCGTTTTGGCGGTTTTTTTGGCAGTTTTGGTGGAGATCCGAAAAAGGTGAGCTTGAAGTGGTCCTCCCCCGCTCGAGACGGTAGTTTCAGGAAAATATGGGAGGATTTGGATTGTGTAGACTGGGCTCAGAATCAAATACTGCAGCCATGGTGGTGAGGGTGGTGATCGGGTAGGGGAAGGGAGGGGGTCGTATGGAGGACTCTCCATAGGTAATGGTAGTGGTAAGGGGTCAAAACGAGACCCCTCCAAAAGAAATTGTTGTAAAATTTTTAAGCAATTGAACAACGAACGGTTGACCGTGCTTCCTACTATAGCTTTAACACATTGATGACAGCCGTTATGCGTGTATCTCAGCATCTTTATATTTTATATTTTTTATATTTTCATTATTAATTTCATCCCTTCAATAGTTTTATCATCGGTAACATGTGGTACTGTGTATTGTTTTATCGGTTCCGATAAAGTGTATGAAGGACAGCTTATGGAGAATATGGAAAAAAAAAACGATAGATAAAAAAGGAAGTTCATCTGGGGAGGGTGTGTGGCGCGCAACCGCGTCACATTGATTGAAGTGTTACTCACTGAAATCGTGGTCACTCCATCGCAGCCTTATGATTTCCGTGCCAATCTGCACATTTTCTGCAATATCGATGCTGTAGGTATCGCGGTCAAATTTCGGCACACTATTCGAATCATTCTCATCATCAATGACCAAGATGGCCTCATGCTCAATGAATTCTCCAGATTGGAAGGTTGATCTCAGCTTGAAGCTGTACAGCTGCCTCTGAAATTGATCCGAGTATTTGCCAGCTTTTATAAATGAAACACATCGAATCAGAGTGAAAATCGGTCGAGAGGATCGGCGAGGATTTTAGCCTGTTTCAGTCATGCTTCCTGCGTGTAACATTCACTTCCTCGACAGCTACTCCGTCACCACTGAGCCATGATTGGGAGTTCCTCGACCGTTTTCACCCTGCCTCTAATGCCTACCTCTTCGTGATCGAATACTGTAGCTGTAGTGATCATGCCAGTTTTACGATCTACTGATAATCCGACATCACCGATGATTGAGTATGTGGCTGGACCTGCAATTATGGTCATTAGTGAGAAATTCCAAGGTAGCAGTAGCTGACTAGTGGGGTTCGAATTTGAGCTTGTGGTGCTATGTG